AACCTGGAGCGAAGAAGTTGGGCATCTTGTTGTTGCGTTAACCTACGTCCCTGCAAGTTGCTTGAACATGCGCGGTGTTCCAAGTTCTTGTCCAGCTGCAAACTCCTGCAGGCTCGCGATGAGTTTAACCCGAGGCTTATTCTGGTTGCATTCCGGAATCCTTTGTCTCTGTCGATATCCGGAGTAGCTGCGGACATATCAGGAAATCAGTGGTGAGGGCAATGCTTTCAAGACCCCAAATAAGGCTTGATCGAACTGGTTTCGACAAGATCATTACCTGGATATTATAGGTACGATGGATCTGGTCTCGTGGACTTCCTAGTCGTCATGGATCAAGTGATGAAGCACAACCAGGCACTCATCCGGGGCAGAGAGCGAAAGAATATTCGACGTGACCGCAACTCTTGAAGGTCGACAAACATGGAGTCAATTCGCTCGCATGGCGCGGACGCACAACGATTTCAAATCCAAAGAGTATACTTTTCTGGAAGAGAGATTGGAGCAAATAACCGACATCACATCATGTGGCCAGGATCAAGGAAGAGCCGAGAACGAAAGAATGCTCCCCGATTCGACTACTGCAGGAAAATGAGAGAGATCGTGTACGAAGCACTGTCGAATCACGTCTATATGACAGAATCTGCAGAACGGGTGGCGATCAATGCAGGAAGCGCTTTCGGACTGCTGTAGCAGACGTCGATTCATTAGATTGGACGATCATCTCGTGTGGGCATTGACCGCAAGGTACTCCGTATCGACTATCGAGTCCATGAGACGTGATCAGTAGAGTTAAAGATCGATGATCGAGGAGCGTCTGAGATAATCGTAGATTGGCTTGCAAGAGAACCAATTCTCGTTCAGATCACCGCAAGGATGGAGGAAGGGAGGCCGATTGGTTCGATGGCGGGGAGAGTTCGATGTGACTCGCTTGTCGATCAACCAAGGAGAAGGCAGCATCCAGGCTGGAGGTCGCCTAAGTCATCGACTCTGGATAGTTTCTACTTTTGATGATTCAAAGGAAGCCAGCCAGGATCAAGAAAGTTCAATAATGGTCCTATAGATTTTAAAAAGGCAGTTATATGTCTCTCCCTCTCCACCAAATCCCGGTTGCGCCTCACGCCGCTACAGTTTGCCTCAATTGATGCATGGTATATTGGCCGTTAATTGCCGCTGATCCTTCCGCAAATCACCGCCGATTCCACCAGTTCCCCGTAATCAAGAGCTGATGCCATGCCAATGCTCAGCTTGGTCCTACTGTCTCGTATGTACGGAGCAATTAGCATTTGCAATATCGACGAGGTCTGGGCTCAGCCTGCCTTTTCCAAGGATTGTATGGAGCATAAGTGCGAGTGTGCGACTGTCTTCAAAACCGAAAACACGGCCAATTGACGAGAATTCATGCAAGGCAGTGGCAAAACTCAAATGCAAGTCTTTCTGTGCGCTGTTGTGTCGTCTGTTTGACGGCAAAATCGCAACTTCGCCTCGAGGATTGGACCCGTCTAGGCTGCAGTGTAATCTCCTCCCGTGCACATAGGGACAATAATTCTCGTATTATGACTAAATTATGGGTTTATGGTAATTAGCCTGATTGCTGCTTGTCCATGTCGTAGCATGAGACTGACTCGTCTTCTATTTACTTTGTAACTGTTTCTTTTCTGGTATTGCCATTGTTGCTATTGCGCTGATCGCCGCAGGTGCGGCGTAGCTGCAGTAGTCGTTCGATGTTTGCCTCAGAGGTCAGGGATCAACTTTAGGTACTACGACATTCCGCATTGAAACTCCAATGACTGTGACGAATCAGAGAGAGAATCTCCTGCCGCTATTATTGGGTTTTACTTGCGTATACATACGACAATCTCGATACCCAATCACCGCAACAACCTACTCTCTTACCACTAAAAGAGGACCTGTTTGGAGTATAGAGTACGCGGTGGGAATTTATCGCAATTAAAACATATTGCGAGACGGGCCGTGTCTTCGATCTTATAGTTCATTATCCCAGAGGTCTTCAGTGGTGGCCGACTCTAGGAGAGCCCGAGCCGCAGAAACGTGGGTGGAAAATCCAACGCAGAAATCCTACGGAGGATGTTAATATCCGTGCCATACGCTACCCTCACCGCGCCGGAGTGGGTGCGTATGGCATGGATACTAAACAGCAGGGGACGCTCCCACAATAGTAAACTCCACGTGGGTGGCTGACGCCAAAGTAGAACGAGGAAATTGAAAAAAGCAACCAAATTCGTCACTCAGCAAGGAGCGATGTTGTGCAGAGACTCCGTACTTAATGTGTCATGCTTTTGACGGAGAACTTGGCCATATCTAGTGATCTTAGCCTTTATGTATCCAGTCTGGTTCTGAATCTCCATGTACAAGGCTTAAGTTCTTGCAGAGCACTATCTGATCATCTGTTCTGAGGATTCGACTAGATCGATACGAATACGGAGTAATATCAAGCAAATTATGGGTTGGAATCATTGTCTGCTGCGAAGATCATTGCTTAACCAGACAAGAAGACGCCCGTCTTCTGAGTTCAAAGACTTTCGAGCTTCTCTGAGGCGAGGATTGCCCGTCAAACTGTTGGGGAAACTTCATCCCTAGTCTATCCCGTATTCCCGCTACCCACGCCGCGTGCCTGTTCCGCGGAGACTGCCGATCAATAAGCATATTGTGCCGTCGAGCAACACCTGCTTACCTAGGTATGGTCTGGAAATGCGATTCCTGGAATAGAAAAAAGACCAGTGTTTGTGAATGTGTGGTTCCTGGTCCTGCTACAGCCTACTGCGTACTAGACTACCTAGCTATCGATCTGAAACAGGTGGAGGTGAGAACTTGGTGCAGGTGCGGCTCCAAGGGGATGGCCCCTTTTGGTGCAGATAACGAAGAAAGACGGACGATTTAGTCTGAGACTCGAACTCCGGAAATCTTCAATAAAGTGGGAGGGTCTGGTTGCAATGAGGCTTGGGATTGTGGAGATTTGTATTCTGTCTGTAGACTAATCTGTTTGTGCATCATTTTCCGTCAGAGATTGGCGGATGAGACAAGGGAGCAGTTAAAGTGCCTGCGTGGTACAAAGTAAGTATCTATCCTCTATTATTATTATCAGTATTCTTGTCGTTGTGGAGAAGCTGAGAACGGACACAGAATCGCTGCCTAAGCAAGATCTAGATCGTATTTCTATTTTAGCGATTACTTTTCAAAAGGATGACATTCCTCTGTGCCCACAACAAGTGACGCTTCTGCTGACGTCTCAGCTCGCATGGCACAGCCGGTTTTGGCTTCCTTCCGTCTAATGATTTTCATACTTTATGAATGCTTCGAGAATCAAACTTTCGGTAGGTAGGTAGGTAGGGAGGAAGAGAAAGTTAAAATCTTTGTATGACATCCTTTGCAGTTCTGCACCTGGTTCGGCCGCCGCAGGTACCAGGGGCGAATGGCAGCAGGAAGCACTCGACTGACTACTACTACTGTGTTGCCACTTGCAGAAGAGGGAGACCGTCAAAAGGCACAAACCAAGCCCGAGCCTAAAGAGTCAGGGATGTTCCCCTCTTCCATAAATTTCGATCAGAATTTAGTTCGTTTAGTGGCCATTAGCGTCTGGCAGGTCTGCTTACTTGGGTTTAGCGGACAGAAAGTTCCATCTTGAATGCATGGCTATTCGCCTAATTAACATAGAGGCTTGGATACCCCTGGTTGATATAAAAGGTCGTAATGGGCCGGGCTTAGGTAGGTATACGAAGCCTCCATGGGGCAATACTACAATAATAAGCCAGCAGCACCTCTAAGGTACCAGGAATTGGTCATACCTCACCTACCTGGTAATAATTGCATTGATGCTGGACCCTGGAAGACTCTGGAGTATTAAATGAATTTCTACATATTGTAATATTAACAAGTTTGGGAAGAATATTGCCTAGAAAAAGAGGACGGCTCTGTCTTCTGTTTATGACGAGGACCTCCGTTGCCTACGGTACTTGCGAACTGTTCTTAGGCGAGGATTGTGTACTCCGCAAAGGTATCTGAATTTGGCTAAAGGGTGAAGAACTGAGGATAGGAAGACGGGGCTTACCGAAAGACGGGTAGTAACGTCGTGCGTGCCTTGTCATGAGAGAATCAACCTAAAACTCTGTAGTACCATGGCTCTGACAGAAGTATGTCCCAGACTTGCCCAACAAAGTAAAAGCAGAGAATGCTGATCCGAAGAATCAGATTGTCAGTCCATGTCCAGAACAGATCGACATACAAAGTACTCATTTTTCATCACGTAACTGAAGCTTGATACTACAAACCTTAGGGAGGGTTTTCCGCCTCCGCTGACACATATTTACCAGCTTTGTATCAATAATACCCTAATAATGAATTTTCCAATCTGATGGCTGCGCCGCCTATAATGATACAACCAACCATAGGCAAACTCCACCTTTACCACTCTTGGTAACTTGAAACCCAATCATGTTTCTGCGATGAACACCAGAATCATTGCATTTCCTCTTCTTAGGTAGTCTAGACTGTGGCAGTTTCTGTCTGAATTCCTTTCCGGCTTCAAGGTGGAGTTCATCGCTGTTTGTTGCCCCGCCCAGAACTGATCCTTTCCGTAGCGAGTTACAGCGAGTTCAGCAACCAACGTTAGACTTCTACTACAGTTACAGTCCCAAATCACCCTAAATTCTGATGGTCACCGGCGTCGTCCCCGGTCGATTGGATACCCGACAATCTCTGTGCTTCTTCATTGGTGCCTTCGTCTTGCATCCTCGTTCGCTTCGTTTCCACTATCCACACCAATGCCCCTGGTGCCAAGCTCAAGTCTCACGTTCCTCGAAGGAAACTGGTCGGACTACCCACTGATCCCAGATCCAATCATCGTCTCATAGCGGGTTGGCGGAACAGATGTACTCGTGCCCTGGGTGAACGGGCCTCCTGTCCCCTTACTAGATGTAGAGACTAGGTATGAGCCTGCATGGATGGCATTAGCACTTTGCAGAGTAGACTAGTAGCATTATTATTATTATAGCTACTCGCCCCCAACGACTGAAGATCCTGGCTTGTTACCCATAGTATCTTCTGTGGGTTCGGGGAAGTAGAACATATTATTTCGATCCATGTATATCTTACTACCTTGCCCCTCGATCTAGATTTCTGTCACTTCCCCCTCCTCTCCTCCGCCTTTTGACTCGATACCTCTATTCAGCAACGTTTAATTATATCCATTGCCGTTGTTGCTCGGCTGCGAGCCCTTCGCGCGGGGTGTGCACACCCTTGAGCCTCCAGAAACAACTTGCAAAATATACTACGACCATTGCATGAACGGGATATGAACTTGAGGCGACCGCAATCGCATTTCGCAGAGGTCACAATCACACGAACAAGTCTGCCAGTATGACGAATCGTACATTATTGAACGGACGGTGTCCAGTACCGTTTCTTCAGGAAGATCTCTTCCCCTCCACCGGTGGATGTACGCTCCCCTGATGATTGCTGGCTTGCTGTTGTCGACATTCGCTGATCGTGTTGGTTTTTACTTGCTAGTCGTCGGAGGTCGTTATTGTCAACCTGTGGGTGATATTTCTTGCTGTTTACCCTGTCCGATAGCATCATGGACGTACGGCGATGGTAAGCTCACAATGTGTTCGAGCTGCAGAGTAACCCATCAATCTAACCTCTTTGATTTTTTTTTCCAGGGTTGTTCGAGAAAGCGAGCGCTGCAAGTTGGATCAGTGTTGCTATACTGCCGCTCTGTATCTTCCTGCTTGTGTCATACGCAGTTCTTCCGGTCAAATTTACGCATCGCCACTACCTCAGCATCTGCTTCACATTGGGCATCTGTTTCATGGAGGTAAGTAAAGTGGCGCATTGGAGGGCCCCAGGACGTGTTATTAACCGACATGCAGATTGCGTTCATTATCCCTCTAGGGGTAAAACCGGATCAATGCCATAACCAGATCACTCCCAACGATATGCATTCTAGTCTCTCGTGCGCTTTCACAGGTGCCCTTCTTCTTTTCGGAGGCTGGATGGTGGTAGTATGGAGTATGTTGGGAACAATTCTGAGCTCGTCTGGATTGACTCGTACTAACGATCTCCAGGTTTTCTCCGTACGGTGGCCTTCCATCTTCAGGTATGCTGGGAAGTGATACTGGGTCCGAAATTCATGTGGGGAGCGTTGATCTTCGGTTGGGTCGTCCCGGCTGTCGGCCTCACGGTGATGCTGCTCTTGACGGGTGTATCTTTTCGATTCGGCTCTGTTTGCCATATCAACATCGATCGTGGCCTACAGGACTACTGGATTCCCATCATCTCGTTCTCCGTTGCCGCACTGATCCTCCAACTGGCGACAATGGGGTACTGCATCCATGTCTACGTCAAGTCTCTCTTCGACACGGACTCAACCACGAATAGCTCGGGATTGCCGTCGTACTCCGCCAGCGTCCGCACCGTGTCCGCTCGTCAAGCCTACCGTCGCATCCGAAGAGTCCTCCAACTGCAATGGAGAGGCGTAGCTCTGGTCCTGATCATCATCGCGAATGTGATTTTCTTCGCTGTGACCTTCATCGAGCTCGACAGCGCCCTCAAAGCGACCCCGGAGAATATGGAAAAGGCGACTCCATGGATTGCATGTCTGGCAGCCAACAAGGGTGACCGGGCAAAATGCGACCCCGAGGCGTCAAAGGTCCGGCCCAACGAAGGGCTCCTACTCGCCGTCCTGATCCTCCTGTCCCTGGTCGGATTCTGGAACTTCATCCTCTTTGCTCGCCCCTCGATCTTCCGCGGCTGGGTCGACTTCTTCCAGAACAAGTTCGGCGTGGGCGAGGGCCGTCTCGAGTTCGTGTCCGCTGATGCACGCGGGCGGCTGGGCGACACGCGGTCCTACGAGATGCTCAACAGCACGGGCCTCCCCTCCTACAAATCGCCATCGCCCATGGTCCGATCGCCAAGTCCTGCGCGCATGGCGGGGACGAAGAGTCCCGAGAATGGCCACTTCGGGCGAGATGCCAGGTACGTGCGGCCGTCCATGAGCTTCTCCAGCCCGCGGCCGCCCAGCGCATCACAAGGGCGCGACTGGGATCCCAAGACAACGTTTGCCCCCGCCGTCTATCGGGAAGATGATGACTAGACTGGTGTCTTTTTGGGCTTTGGTTTTATGTAATGCTATGTCATGCTGTTGAGGTGTTTAAAAAATTCTTTGTATATTGGTTTGGATGATGCAATGTATACCCTAGCAATGTTTCTGGCCCTCTGTTTCCTACTCTTCATATCAAAGATAATGCTATGCATATTACTTTCACAAGCGTAGCATCTCTGATTTACAATGTATTCCATACACATACACATCAGAGTATGCAGAATCCAAGATTGTAGACGAAGCAACCCACCTGATTGAGGAACGAGATTCCCCGCATTCCCTTTCCAGCATCGCTTGTGGGCGAGATCCTTGCGATAGAAAGCATATCCATCACCTCAAAAATATGGCTGACGAGTCCAACCACAAACAAGTATCCACCGTCCACAACCACAAACCCTGGACTGTAACATCAACAGTAACAGTATGAGACGATCTGACACTGAAACTCGGCACTTGCACCAGCTACCTCGCACTATCGTTCCACGGTCAACCCAACCACCAATAATCTCCCTCGTAAGCTGCAACTTGCTTTAGCCGATCCTTCTAGAAGAAGATTGGTCTTGGATTTGGATTTGGGAGAAATAGACTTTGGCTACGGGGTAAGGTCAGAAGTAAAGGTAAGACCGTAAGACAGGTTGTGACAGACTGCGTAGACTATCCATATTCGTACCGGTTTGGTGACTCGGTGTAAGGCGTAGTCTGCTGTCTAGCACTCGAGCTAGCTCGAGTTTCAGAGTAAACGGTAAACTGTAACTGCAGACTAAGGTAGGGTACAGTAAAGTTTGAGTTTGAATTTGCCATATCGTGATGTCAACGTGAATCAGTTATATTTTGCATTCCTCGACGCTCACTGTAGATACGTGATGCAGTATCTGTCCCCTAGACTGTATATCAGGGGTCACGGTCACCATACCCCTATCCAGGTAAGGTAGCTGATGCAATGCCACCACACCCAAACAGGGAACAGGACCGTTCCTGCATTAAGGACAGGGATTCGTATGGTCGGACGAGACTATCAATCAATAATCCGTAGACTAATGTACGCGAATCCCGTCCATACGGTGTAGCATCAGCATGGCACTATCACGGATACCTTGTCATAAAGTAGAGACTAGAGACTCGAAGAGTAGTGTTCCGTATTGCTGTGGAGTGGATATGCTGGGCAGACAATATCGATTATCGAATCGAGATCAGACAGAGTCTTGTCACGGAGTCCTCCGTCTTCCATACGCGGTCAGAAGTCCAGGAGATAAGACTGAGACTACTCTGTAAAAATCCCTCATTCCGGGGATATGGAGACTACTTGGCCTTCCGATAGACCTAGGCATCAGCATCATCACTACGAGAATCATGAGTACAAAGTACCTACTTTACAGCCGACAGGCGCGGACTCTCGTGGTGACAATAGATTGCCGATTCGGGCCATGTGAAAATCGTTCAACAAGTGTATTCTACCACCCTAGGCTGAGCTGACTACCGACCTACGAGTGTCAAACCCAACACCATAAGCTCGATAGACCTTGGTCGAGATGTATACAAACTTCGCTGATCTACAAGTAGATAGTTTACTAGTCCGTCGAGCATCGACCCCGCAAACACGGATAAGCGGATGCTGGAAATGGAACACGAGATCGTCGACTATCAATTCATCGGTGGGTATGGATATGGATCTCCATTTGCCCACCCCATGGGGTAAACGACTCAAGTTTGGGTCTCATGTGCGATAGTGCCAGATGGACGAGTTTGAGTTTGATGTGCCGCAGTGTGTGGTGCACTGGATGTGTTCGTGGGTCGACACCGGTAGGTCTAGACTAAAATGTACGATGTACCGGCCTCGGCAGTGGAGCAGGTGTCAGTGATCATAGCTAGGCCGGGTGGTCGGTTTTCATGTGATTGTGGATTTGAGATCAGATAGGGCTTGAAAGTGAAGACTTGAACCTCTTGTGTTCGTATTCATGCATAGTAGCAGTGTTGGATGGGCCTCGTCTAAAGTCGGGAGTCCATGAAGTACGCAATCCTTCCATGTGCACATAACTACAACAGAAGATGATCGACTTTCACCAGCTTAAGTCACTTCTTGCTATGATACACGGTCAAACTAGTTGCATCGTCCGATGCAAGCACAATTGATTTGATCCTTCGAGGGATACTTTGCAAACGCCGGTCAAGCGAGGTTCAAAAAATGGAAAGGGAATAGATTTTGAGTTGCAAATTGTTTTCCGTCAGCACCAGGGATAATACCACAATCGATGAGTCCTAGCCCTCCGGGTATCGATTACCAAGCGCTCACATCGAAATTTTCCTGCAAGATACCGTCAGAACAAAACAACAAGAAGTGACCTAGGGACAACTCACCTCGGAAAAGTAGGTCGTCACCACTGTCCGATCAGAGAACTTTCTGCCCGCAAGCGCTTTCAAGGCATTGGTGGCCGATTCTACCGTGTCAAACTTGACATAGATCTTGCCCACTCCGGGAGACTGCCTGCTGCCGCCAGAAGGGCGTGGCACCTTCAAGTCCAGGACCTTGCCATACTTAGAGCACTCCTCGCGTACATCATCGCAAATTTCTGTACCGGAGTTAGTAAATATTTCATAATTGCCCCCTCAACGAAAAAACTCACCTTCGTAATCATCATTGTCCAAAAGCTCCTCCGGCGTCACCATGTTCAACAACTGCAAGACACGGCTGCTCTCCAAATCCTGCGATGTAGTCTTGGCGAACATCGACATCGCGTTGACTCCCATGTCAAGACCAGCGGCCTGCGTCATTCCGATACTGGCACGCACAACCTTGAGATGCCGGTCGCCCAATTCCATACCGTTGAGACCCTCCACAGCGATAGCAGTCGCTGACGGTTCAGCATACTCGCAGAAAGCGATACCCTTGACAAGTCAGTAAAAACCTTACCGCGCTCGGATAGACGCCACTTACCCTTGACTCTTCCGTCGAGCTATCTTTCACCAGTACAAATGATTTGAGCTCGCCAAACGACTTGAGCAGCATGGTCACGGGCTCCTCTGGAATATATTGCGGGATATTGGACACACAAATCTTGTTGGGCGAGTCGGGGACCTCATTCAACAACACACCCTCCTGGTATTCTTGATCCGCACTGCCGTTCGGGACAATGTAGTCCTTGGGTCGGCGCACTTCGAGCCCCTTGGGAGCACCGTTCTCAGTTCCACTGGCAGATTCGTGCTCCTCCATCGTGATGCCATCAAAGGCAAGAGCAACCGTGGTGTCGTTGGGTGTCTTGAACTCTAGAAGTGCAAAACTATGGTCTTCAGATATTTGGGCCGAGATACAAGGGTCTACACTGTGAATGACATTGAGGCCGTTGAGTTGCAGGTTGAAGAAGGACACGAGATGCTCGCTGGACGCGCCGGGAGGCAGGTTGTATACGAACAGACGCCTGGCCTGACGCGAGTTGGAGGGCTTGAGAGCTGAATTGTCCGCAGATCCACCAGCTGACTGGTTCATAAACGCTTGAAGGCGGCTGGGATCCATTGGCTGCTGGCGAGGTGCTCCGGGAAGGGGGAACATGCCTAGAAATGTTAGGATGACTTAGATACAGATAGACACACGTCGCGCAGTCGCAACTTACCCGACAGCTTGGCTTGCTCAGCAGTAACATTCTCGTAACCAGGCGGCTTAATGTCCCACTGCGTCAAACGACGTTTCCTTGTCAGAACAGATGGCACATCTGTCAAATCAGGAGTGGGCTCCCTTTTGCTCGGAGGGGTTGCGCTTCTCTTCCGTTCTTTCCTCTCCCGGTCGCGGTCGCGCTCGCGGTCTCCTCCTCGTTCTCTCCGGGGTTTCTCGTCGAACAAGTCTTTATCCCGGTCACGTCGAGATGGTCTGTCATCGAAATCTCTGCGTCGACGGTCACCGCGATCGACGCGATCGCCGCGGTCCCGATCCCATTCGCGGTCGTCTCTCCGGCTGGAGTAGCGGTCCTCTCGTTCTCTCGCGCGGTAGTCACGACTCGACGAGTATGAGTCTGCCTCGTATTCACGTCGTGAACCCCTGGAGCCGTAATGGGGGGATCTCGATCGTCTCCTCTCTCCTCTGTCTCCTCTTTCACCGCGTTCACCTCCACGTTCGCCTCCGCGTTCGCGTCTTTCGTCGCGCTGTCAAGGCCTTGTTAGCAATTATTTAAAAGAGCTCATCCTAGCGGCTGTCGCGACTTACGTAGTGCTCTCTTGAGCGGCCAGGTTCTCCTGTTCTCATGTCAGTTACAGTTAAACTGTGGGAGATAAACGGCCGCTCACCTCTCGAAGAAGAGTAAGTATCGCCGTTCATGTTGGACGAGCTATCTTATCCTTTCCTGCTCCTTTTACTCAACGTGGCGAAAAGGAAGTCAACAAGATATAAGGGCTGACTTTCAGAGCGATAGATACTATCACAGGGTGATCCTGATGATTTAATGAAAATGATCAAAGGAGTCTGAGACAAAGGAAGGAGTTGCGCTGAGCGACTGGCTGAAAACTCGCAGGTCGTGAAATCGGCGGCGAAGAGCAACCGCGGCGTCTAGAATTGAAGCGGTTAGCGCGCGCGCTGCGTACATGGACTACCGCCTGCCTTTTATGAGGGAAATTCGGCAGAATTTCAAGATACTTTATCTCCTATTAGTGCCTCTAAGAGCTGCAAGACTGCAAGTTGTTCCTATCTCTAAATGACGTTCCGTTCTTTGACATCATGACAGTTGGAGTCTTTTCAGAATGGCGCAAGTTGCCCATGAGTTTGAGTGAATTATGTATTAACACAACCTTGCGCTGCGGTCAGTCCTTTCGGTAGGCTATATCACTTGATCATCGAATGGAAACGATATTCCTGACTATTTCGGGCCCCTAGATGGCACAATGTTCCTGAGAGTGACGAATGGCGATGTGTCCTCCATGGCCGACTTCTATCTCTGAAACAGGACCCGCAATATCTCTATTATAGAACATATCGCTCGCTTATCTCTCAGTTCACAACCAACCGGCGAATACAACCCTCCTCTTCTCCGCGCGGAGAGTTAACTGGTGCTGTGAATAGCTCGAATGGAAAAGTAACGCAGAACGGATCATCAGATGACTCCCATGACGACGACACTGTAGAGCTTCTGAAGCATTACCTCAATCTCTCCTCAAATCTTACGGACCTCTATGCCCAGTGGTCCTCGCAAGACCCGAACTTCAAGAAAAAGGCACCCCAGTTCACAGGAATCAGGATTCTGCGCCAGGATGCTTGGGAAGCGCTTGTATCTTTCATCTGCAGCAGTAACAACAATATAGCGCGCATATCGCAAATGGTCGAGAAGTTATGCGTCAACTATGGTCCCCTGGTGGCCACCGTCGGCGACCGCGCATACCATGACTTCCCTCCCCCGGAAGCTTTGACTGCTGACGATGTTGAGGGTCGCCTGCGAAGTCTAGGATTCGGTTACCGGGCCAAATATATCCACCAGACAGCTTTGATTGTAGCGAAAGAGAGAGAGCAGGGCTGGCTTGACTCGTTACGAAATCCAGAGTCTCCCGTACTCGGGGTTGAGCCTGTGCCCGGCGATGAAATGAGAGCAGAGGGTAGACAGGGGTACCGTCACGCGCATGAACAGCTACTGGGGCTACAGGGGGTTGGGCCAAAGGTTGCGGATTGTGTCTGTCTGATGGGGTTGGGGTGGGGAGAGGCGGTGCCGGTAGATACTCATGGTGAGTGACTCTCAACATGTCTTCTATAGATTACTTATGTTGACTTTCTTTAGTCTGGCAAATTGCGCAAAGAGACTACAAGTTCGGCAGAGGCGCTCATAAGTCGCTAACGAAAGCAACCTACGACGCCGTTGGCAACCACTTTCGGAAACTCTGGGGCAAGGAGGCCGGCTGGGCTCATAGTGTTCTGTTCACAGCGGACTTGAGGACATTCTCGGACAGATTAGCTGCTACGTCTGGCAAGATAGATGTCAAGGTTGCTGTGAAGGAAGAGGGCGACGACAAGGAGTCTGTCAAGGTTGAGACAGAAGTCACGACCTCCACGGCTTATGCCTTGAAAAGACCTGCGAGCGAGGACGAGTCGGAAACAAAGGAGATGAAAGAGAGCAAGGAAAACGTGAAGGCCGTCATACAAGCCTCACAGACTACGACAACGAGAAGAATGTCAAAGCGGCTTCGGAACCGCTGAAATAGATTCGGCAGGAATAGGCAATATACACCTGTAGACAGATATTGATAGATGTATACTTCCTGTTCAGCCTTCGCCCCATGATCCAATTCGTCAGACCGTTCCAAGAATTGCAGATATATTTTCAGACTAGAATGTGCAGCATTCAATTGCCAGCGTACCTAACTTCAGCAGGGCTAAAAATCATTCCTGCAGGAGCTACAAACTACGATACGTCAAAGACGCTCACCCTAGTCACGAAAGATCCGGCAATTCAATCCTCATCCGCAAAACTTGCCAATCGCCATAAGTACTCCATACACTACCCAAGCGGAACATCAAAACAGGAAACCCGAGAGCCGAGATAAATCACCATCAACAACTTCGATCCACAAGGCATCTGGGTATCTACAGCACTGTGCACACGTCGCAAATGCTGAAGGACGGCCATCGCGATAAGCATTGAACAACTGTGGAGAATTGACATAACACTACCGTAACCGTGCTGCCGTTTCCTGCCACTGCGATCGGCAAACCTGCTCTTGGTAGACTGCTGTCCCTCAGTGAAGATCGCGATGTCCCTAACCTGCAGGCTCCATCGACATCTGCTTATCTAGGGAATGAGTCGACGGGATTTTCGGGCCTTCGTGGGTCGGATCTGTTGATCATTATGGAGCAGTTTACTGATTACTACGTTCTTCACACGCCAGGATGGTCAGTATGACGTTGATGGGTTTATGTATGACATATTATGAGAAGATAGAAGTGACATCGGCAGTCCTCCTTATACTAACTCCTCTAGCTTGTTCCAGCCGTGTGCATTATTAGTATGCAGTAGTTCTGCAGTATTTTGTTCGATTAACATCGGGAGACTTTCAGCGAACAAGAAATGCAACCCTGATGTGGGGATAACCACGCCGAGCGACAGGCAACTCAGCCGAGTGGATAAGCATTAAAACAAACCCAGACTCCAGGCAACCTATATTTTGAAGTCATCACTGAAATTGTTGCGCGGTGCTGTAACTAAAAGGAGGAATCATTCAGATCATGATTTCATTATCAAATCACCGTATATCGCTATCATATGCGCCAACGCTAATGCTTTCAGATCGCTGATGAGCCTGACCAGGCGTCTAACAGGGAAAAAGGACAATATCTAACAGAGCGAGGCAAAACTGAAACTGATCCGCTGCAAGCTGGCCATTGAAGCCGCAACCCCATAAGCGGGTGAAGAATCGCGGAAACTCGCATGATTCACTAGGCCTGTTATAACTTGGGAGTCCGTCACTTGCACCGATGTCAGGATGTTGTGGTTCTCATGCGGCGCGGACAATATGCGAGAAGGCGGTTGAGGCCAAGCATATTGGACTGGAACTTGCTAGTGGCGATGCTATTCAGCGCCTTTCTGCGGCCAGTGAGAGAGCCGGGATGACAAGGGTAGCACTCTTGGAGTACTAATCCAGGAAGATACCGAAGCCGAAATGAAATCTTCCGACCAACGGGAGGGGGACGTGAATGGAATACCGGAATGGGCTGGAATACGACCGTTTATGAGACCCCTGTGGAATTGGATGCTTCATCCCACCCCCACTCCCTAAGCAACTGCTTCACGCGATACTCGGTTGCCCAACCGAGATCAGCTTCTATACCCCGAAGCAAGCGCAAAACTACCCGGCGTTCACGAGGCTCAGTGAGACACTGACCACTCACAAACAAAGGCTGGAGAGAGTTAATACGAACGGAGCCATGCGGACGAGCCAATGAGATGCCGACAATTTCGCGGCTATGGAAGCGAATCTCATTCTCAATAGATCGGTATGAGTTGAGCCGGTTCGTTATGGCACTTCTCCTATTGATTGAATCATGAGGCTTGTTGATAAGTAGAAGAATGCGAGCCATGTGATAATGCTGTATAGCCGACGAGCACATCGGAATGCTGAACCATATTTCAGAAAACGAGGCAGCATCCTCATCCTCGGCCGTTCTTGGGTGCGGAACGTTGGATAAGTCGATACGAGCGCACGGTCGAAAGCTAGCCGGAAGCCTCTTGTACCATGTCTCAAGCTCGGCTTCGAGGCGATGCCAACGCTCAAGGAGAGCTTGTTGAGAGAGGCTCATTTGGCCTGCTGTAACAGCACCAGTGTGCGTCAAATGAGGGGTATCTCCGGCGCCAATGAAATTGACAATCTTGGAAGCTATCCACACGAGGGCATTGGAAATGAGATCCTCTTTCATTTCGTCGCCCTCGTCGGGATAGCCGGCCGCGTTCAAATTGGTGGTACGCACAAATCCCATGCTATCGAGCTGAAGACCAGCTTCAGTCCACAATACCACGTCGTCGGTATTCAGCCTGGTTTGCGTCTCGTTGATGACTGGATGAAATACTCATTAATCTCTTCAACTTGGGGAAGGGACTGGCACATCCGAGCGCACTTACATGCAGCCAGGTAGTCTTGCCTGGCAAAGTTCCAGAATGTTGCCCTCCTGGCTCTCGAAAGCCCGAACTTCCTAGGCGGCTGAAGCGATCCATCCCCTGGAGAAGGGTGTTGCTCGAGTGGCAACATACCAACTTCAGCGACATCCAGCAGGGATTTCACACCACTCAGGTGCCGATTCCACGCGGTACCAGTCGCATCAAGGAATTCATAGATGGATAATATCGCTGTCGCGGCAAGAACTTCGTCGGAATGGACACCACCAGATGATCGATTATGTCTTCTACGTTTTCGAGAATTGTCGCGGTTCTGGCACAGTTCAGCGGCCTGCCACTGACCGAACGCCTCCGGAGTGCTCAAAGGTGGCGGACCTTCGTCAGGTTGCAGCTCATTCACCAGGAGTTGGATGGCTTTTTCATAGTACTTAGCGCCACACCAGGTCCAATCTATGCGTCTCCCATCAGGCCACGTCTCCGTGAAAGCCTGCTTCCCGCTGACGCCACCAAAAGGAGATTTTACGCCATTCACGCGACCAAGCTGTTTCGCAGCGTATGCACACGCGGCATACTTGAGAAGAGGATTCGTGAGAGCCTTGACCGGAACGAGTGACGCAAAGTAGGTCCCTAAATCGAAGAGATCCATCCTGCATAGTTCCCGTTAGAAGACCTACTATCCTACTGAGGGTGGAGACAAAGACATACCACAGCCCCGGAGCTTCTGAAAAGTGTCTCAGGAGAAAGACAACTTCATACTCGGTCTCCACTGGCTGCTCTGACTTCTGTTCGGCATTCCCGGCATTTCGTGGCAACACTGACCTGGAGGGAATTGAAGATATTGTCGGCTCCGAGGTATGCTGGGTACTAGGATCAATGGGCGGTGATAGAGTTTGGGAAGGATTCAAAATGAATTTGATGTCATTGTTCGTGTTGTTGCTGTTGGGATTGGAGAAAGAAGAGATAGAAATCGGAGGCGATGGTTGAGGGGCCAACGCAGTATGCGGTACATTGGTTGAAGGTCTAGACGGTATTGAAGGGGCGGTAAGGTCTAGCATATTGGAATGCGTATTGTGATCCGGTGCCAGAGAATGAGATCCGTTGTCGGTAGCGAGGGGAGAAAAAGAGTACCGATTAGTAGATCCCGCTGTGGACGATTGTTCCAAGCCTCGAATCTCCCCGTCGGCAGAGGAAGGCGTCTGTAAACCTTTTTGTTGAGCCTTCGAAGCTAGAATAGCGGCTTCAGATTCCCCAAGAACAGTCTCCAGCTCCTCCGCACACGGATCAGAATTGTCGACAAAGACCACTAGAGAGCAACATCCGTATGTCAGTCATCGAACCAAGAGACAGAAGAAGACGCTCGAGCAGATGAAGAGCGCAACGGGAATCATTCGTCCGTACCATCCTTAGGTATATCCAGCCAGACACTGTCCTCATCGAAAGTATTCTTGTAGGAATAAAACCCTTTCAGACTACCGCGGCCATTCGACGAGTCCTCGAAACTCTTGTTCATCGAAGCATTTTGCTGATGCCGAAAAATAACACCCTCACTAGGGCGACACTCTCTGGATCCTTTGCGACATTGGGAACACTGCGGTTTTTGCTCATCACCTGATTCACAGGTTTTAGTCACTTTCCGACACGTTCAGAGTCACTGCGATGAGAGCGAAGGGTGGAAGTTTACATTTCAGTTTTCGAGTCCGACACGTCAAACTGTGATGAACGACAAATGTTAGTCTCTAAGTCTCTTTCTTTGATCTTTAGACAGTCGATCTGTAGTCCAAGATGGTCCGGTACATGACAAGATTCGTGAAGTACAAAATCATGTAGGAGTACGTGTTATAAATGAGCAAGCGCTATTTCCTCCTTGCCAAGTTACCTACCAGCCTGTGCGAGATCGCATACCGGATGGTAACGATAGCGATTGAGTTGCAGCATCCGAGAAACGAAGCGAGTATGCGATGTGAAGCGTGGACGATGTTGGTGTAAGTTAGATCGAGGAGAAGAATGTAATCGGGAAAATTAACTGCCAGAACCGGGATGGCGTTGCGTTTATCGAATCGCAACGATGATTATGATTAAAGGATAATGCATATATTAAAATAAGGCCGTCTCTTTTGAGGGCAGCCGAATGACTATGATGACAGCGCGAAGGAGATGAATTCTGTTAGGTCACGGGGAACGAAAAAGAACGGGAGGGAGAGAAAGCGGGGTTCCAAATTGTGGCCGGGGATCGCACAGGGCTCTAAGTTCCCCCCGACTGACCCCAATTCCCCCATGACAGCCTGGGAGACTAAGATTAAATGCCGACCGACCGAAGAGGAGAGACTGTCCGGAGTGTCACTTGAGATCGGAACACTTCGCGGGATCCTTTTTCCGCCTGAGGCTCCTACAGTACTCCATTTGCGGGAATTGAAGTGCCATGGCATCTTCTAATATAATCTACCCTGTCTCCTTCACAGTTAACACACGCTGTCAAACGAACGAAGCCATGTTTAAAACTACTGAAGGGCGAAAGGAAGGTTGAAATGCGAATCGATCCGCCGACGCCTAGGAAAAGGAAGGGGAGTGGTGACCGCCGAGTGGGTCGCGCGAACTGAATAATATGGCTTCCATATAAACAAAAATATATCATAAGCTGCCATTCAGAATGGCTTCAGGGCAGGATCAACATAATTCTTGGACTGACGCAAGAGGATGGCACATGAGAACTTGAAAGAGAGTTCCCATTGTGTTACCAAGGCATTCATTCAATCAAGATGCAATTAACATTCCAAACGGCATTCTGAATCATATCAAGCATTTGATCTCAACGGGGGAAAGCATGAGTTTGAGAAATGGTGCGGTGGTAGCAATACTGGTTCTCTTTAAAGAAGAAAGGAGGTTGAGACTCGAACCACTAGGCTTTCAAAGAAAAATTGCGTCTGTGGTACCCTTGTGCTAATCTTTGTGTCATCTTCTTCCAAGGGACCAGAAGCCAGACCGCTCGACTGCTGGGGAGTCTATTATGGACAGTAGGACAGTCACCAAGATCGTATATGACGAATGCAATGAATAGTCCCCTTGGATAAAGCTACGAACTGATAGAAGAAATAAGGCGCTAAGAAACGAGGAAGAATTCCGTATCATTCCATTACCGCGATCTCGCGCGGGATATATTTATGTCCATCTAGTGAAACATGATAGAGCGTGCTAAGGGTGAGGACATGCCAACCCCGCGCAACGAAGCAGCTAAAGACTAAGGTAGAGCTCAGAATGAGATAGCACCAAATAGCATATCCGATCTCAATCGATTTTGCCACCGCCAGCGCAACATGCCTGGCCTGACCAATGGTAAGCAAAGATGATAGAGGAATCGGCAGGAAAAGAAGGCTGGTATGAGATCTGACAAGACCTGGCCAGCGGAGAATTAGAAATCCACATTATCAGTAGAAAAATCGAAGACACATTAATTAGGGTATAAAGCAATAGACGCTTCCCACGAACGCCTTTCTGAAGGTACCAGAGAATCAAGACATGATGTTTTCGAGTCGTTTTCTCAATTATGGACAAATTTCATCGAGTCCGGATCTTGACTCATAACACTGGTGTACCTGGGTTCGGATGCTTGAGCGTGTTGAACAGGTATTCCGGAGGAACCCGTCGCATGGTCGACGGCCGGTCAGTTCCATATGCTTGGGGGGCGCGCATATAGCCCTGGCGGCGCCGCTGAATCTTGTTGAAGATAACTCCGGCAATGACAATCAGGAACACGCAACCCAGAGCGCAGCAGAAAGCTACGAGGACCACTATTCCGTTCGAGTGGTGATGGCCTGTGGCAAGAGTTAGCATATGTGACTAATTGCCTAGATAAGCCCCATGTGTACTACTGACCACCACTAGTGTAAGGATTCTTGTTCTCGTAGAACAATTGAGACATACTGCCCGACTGGCCATTCCACTTCGAGGACAGGAGGAACGGAGTCAGGTCGGTTCCGTTGAATAGGGCAGCGGATGCATTGCCGAAATCCGGAATCACAAGTTGTCCTGTAATCAGCAGGGTCTGGTCATCATTGAGAACAGAAATATCACGATGCTTCTGGGACAGAGGGAGGATCTCAAGGCTGCGTATGGTCGTGCCTTCGCCGAAAATGCCTCCAGCGAAGTGGAGATTAGATCCATCGTAACTTGCGAGGAAAGAAGAGCCATTCTTCGATTCTCCAGCAAGCCAGAATCTCGAAACGTCCGTGTTGGCAGGAGTAAAAGCTGTGACAGTGCCAAGAATGTCAGCCGTAGAGGTCCCGGCCAACGGCTCCCAGCTCTGATCTTTAGGATTGTAGGTCGCGACGGCAATCTGATTTCCCGAAACAGTCAGGTTTCCAACGGCAATCAATTGCTTGTTGCTGATCCACTTGAGTGCCAAGACGTTACCATATAGAGTCACGCCTGGTCGAGTCCACTGTGCCTCGGTTGTATCATAAAAACAGACGGCGGGGCAAGGCAGCGCTCCAGCAGTTTGGAAACTGCCTCCGAAATAGACTTCGCTGGTTCCAGGGCGGGCAGCTATTGCATTGACCGAGACGTCTTTCCCGGTAAATGGGGGAGGCACATTCTCAACGAACGACTCGTTCATCAAGTTGTATGCCACGAACCCATTAATCATGGAATTGCCCACGGTTCCGGTAACATTCCCACCTGCAAACAGGGTATCGCCTGAGACGGTCAAGGCTAAAAAGGTGGAATTGCTGTCGAGCCCCGAGCCAATGCCGCGAATGGTATTGTCAGCGCCATTCAGAATAGCGAGATTTTGGACCGAAGAACCATCGCTGGCGATAGTGGTGAAATGACCTCCAAGAATAGTAAGATTGCGGCCAGAATTTGTATCATAAGTACCGGTGAATGTCCCAGCACTGGTATTAGTTCCGCCCACCTTTGTCAACAAGGGGTCCAGAGCCATCCCGTCATTATAAAGCAGCGCCACAGCGCCTGCCGCTGCAATACCGCCTGAAGCTAGATTGCCTGCGAGAATAGTTGTGTTTTCATGTTTGGCGTAAGCGGCTAATTGCCCGGTGTACTCGATTTGGCTGACGTTGAGATTTTGAAGCCAGTTTTTGCGCGAGGGGACCCACACAGCAAACCCAGATACATCGGACGCTGATTCATTGCCAAACGAGAGTATTCGGCTGAAACCACCGCTCACCCCAACCACAGTCTCATTGAAATCCATGGAGACGTTCAACTGTAAAGGTATTATCCGGTTGACAGGGCCGTTAACACCACCGCCCAGAGCTGACCAGGTTTTAGTATCGAAAGAATAAGCTGCGACGTGTTTGAGGTTCGGATTGTCGCCATCAGATGTATCGGTAAAGTTTCCTCCCACGTAGAGGAAGTCGTCCAGAACCGCCATCGATGTGACTTCAGAATCCAAACCACCCCCAGTCATTGCAGTTGCATTTCCATCACCGAAAAACATGACATTGTGAATGGAAGAATCTGAGAAATTTCCCCCAGCATAGATTCTATTGTCATGCTTGGCCAAAGTCTTCACAGACGCGCCAGAGTCAAGTTGTAACCCCGCTTTATTCACGGCAGATTGTGTCAGATTCGCGCTTGTATCCTTGGAAGTGGGATCATATTCAAAAAGTCCATTCAAGTCTCCACTTGTTGAATTGTTTGATGCATTCGTGAGCATAAACTTGACCCTTGATGCTACTACCGCGATGTCTCCTTGGCCGGCCACCGGAGTCAGCTTCACCTGTGGACGAAACGAACTACCGCTGGCATCGACATGACCGGTGTAGATGGTATCGTACTTCTCGTAGAGATTGGTTTGGTGGATGACAGTCTGAATAGGCTCATCGGAATCCGTTGTAACAGTGGCTGTCACGTTGACGATACCGCGTGAACCACAGGTTCCATCTTGGATGCACCCAGGGGTGTAAAGAAGAATACTATAGTTTCCGGACTGTTTGACGTCGGGCTCAAAGACCACAGAAGTGCTGTCTGCAGTGGAATCGGTGACATGAGCCGTTAAGTACTTGGATGAACTCTGCCCGGACTCCGTTGTCGACCAAGAGCCCGTCCGGGTTGCTTTGGAAGGATACTCGATGCTTGCACATGTCGGCTCGTTAAACGCATCCACGGCATAAGTGAAGATTTCTGTCATATTCGGTTTCAGTAAGGCACAAACCATTGACAAAACATATTTATGAAATGACTCACCTTCCTGAAAAAGCTCAATTCCATTCAATCCGGCACCAGATCCATACCAGTCGGAGATTTCAATTTGGAATCCGCTCATGCCCACGACATTCACAAATTCGAAGTCACGGTATTTCTCCTCTGCGCTGTCGGACAGGGGGCAAGTAGAGTCGCAATGAACGTCGTAGCCAGTGTCGGGATCTGTGTATGTGAAGTTCATGATGCCATTGTCCGGAAGCCTTCTGAACAGGAAGGTTTTGGTGCCCCTGCCCTCGAAATGGGTATTGTACAGACGGAGTTTAGTTGGTCTGTACTCGAAACCCATATCTGCTC